TGGGCCCCCCCCCCCCGCGATTGATTAAATCTTTTATGATGAATGATTCTGCTAAATCAAAAGTACGATTGTAAACTATTATTCAAATCAAAATAGGAAAGCTTTCAGTTAATCATTGTTTTTGCCATATTTTAACTCCAGCATACAATCGCCTACTACATTCTATTTCCATTCATTGTAGAATTATTTTGTCGAAGCTCTTGGTTTTCTAAATTTTTCACAAAACAGTTCATCCAATTGTTCTAAGACATTTTATTGTCGTATCCTCTACCAACTCTCCTTTTACGAAATTTACACATCCAAATCCACGATTCAAATCGACTGCACGTAGCTCATCGTTTACTGCGGCTTTCATTGCGATGACAGAAACTGAATATACGTTTAATATTCCCTCTGTCTCTTTTCGAGCCTCAAGCGCTTCTTCGGCACAATTTTATCCTTGACATTTTACATTACGTTCGAGTCCCTCCTGCTGCAAAGCAGCGTCTCACCTGCTATCTCTTATCCACGTTGTCGCACCTGTTCAGACTTGCACTTTCTACAACGTGACACAAGAATTAGTCATCATATTTCGAAGTAAAGCTCGATAATATAAACTTCGAAATTTATCAAAAAATTTCATTTGGCACATACTTTTACATTAATTTTAAAAAAATGTCTAACATACACACGACACGTAACGTAGTTCACGTTACAAAAGGAACGATACTTTACATTATTTCTATTGCAATAATAAAAACAAGCAGCTTTTCAAATACACATACGTCGTCCTATATAAAATTCTTTTATCACACGTAAATCCTCCAGATTAGACCAAGTCTTCATTTAAATTCGACACAGGGGCGTTAAACTGCAACTCTAGTCTGTTGAAGGACAACAATAAACTTTCAGTACAGAAAAAGTACTGTTATAAAATACTACTGAATTTGAGTCACTAGCCCATATGTTGCAGATACAAAAATAATTCCAAAATACAATAGTACCCAGCTCTTGTTCTCATCCACAGATAAAAGTCATGATACAAAATTAACTTAATGATATTTAAATTCTCGTATTCAGATAAATATGAAAGAATAAAAAATACTTGTATCGAATACATTAACGTAACTGCAAATATATTAATCTAACCTTACACAATAAAAATAAGCCTATACGGTATACAAGCCGGAGATTTCTTTTTTTTTTTCGTTACGTCGTTTCGTGTTTCTTAGCATCTCTGATCAACCATGCGTATCCCCACTTTGTTTTCTTAAATTGCAGATCAACGACAAGAGTCACACTCTCACTCTCGTCCACATGTCTGCGAGGTGATAAAAGCCCCGTAAAGATGCGACGCACCTCACAGTTCGTCTTTTCGATTCATAAAAGAACTTTCCATATACAACAGTGGTTTTATTTTATTCAAACGCGCGCAGCGCCATTGGGATGTCTACTCGCAGATTTGTTCCAGGTGTCAGCACCAGCCCCTTGCACTTAATTGCCCTAATATTCCTTCTCATAGCTAGTGAGTATCATTTAAATTTGTTTCACGTCATTGCGTATATTAAATGTAACAAAAATTCCTAAAAACTTTGTAAAGTAAATGTAAACTTATTATGACAACAATACATGTAGCATACAATTTCTAACGGATTATGTGATCTTTATTAATTTTTTCAAATATTTACCAATATTTGGATATCTAGAAACGTAATTCTTATAATTCCATTATTTCTTTGCTCCTGCACGTGTCCTATTATTTCTGCTCACGAAATGTGAGCTGAATATTCGAGTAGCATTACGTAAGGTTTTACTATGCTAATTTGCGACGCGACGCTACGTGACAGAGGGAGAGAGTTCGGGAAAGATGAGCTGTGACTTTCCCTTGAAGAATTCTTGATAAACGAATGTAATATTAGGATGTGAGATTTTAATGCTACATAGAAATTAGAAGTTTTGTCAAAATTCTATAGGTGTACTCAGTCAGTTTCAAGGCGGTTCCACATCTTACAATCGTATAAATGAGATACAACGTCAACAGCCGACATTCAAAGGATCGTCAAGTCCATCTTGTCCGGAGAAAAATGGTCGATTTCCCGTAGCATCTCAATGCGATGCGTACATAGAATGCATCGATGGCGTCGCAGAGGAGAAACTATGTCCGGAAGGTCTATTATTTAATCCTGAGGCACGATTTAATTATCCTTGTGGATATCCTATCGACATAAGCTGTGGGGGACGATCGAATTTACGTAAGTGTTTTTAGACTTGATCTCGATGTTTGTATTTCTTCAAAGGATCATCCTACACATGGGACTTATTACTCACTGTTGAGGAACTTCTTATAGAACCCCCTCAGCCTACAGAAGATTGTCCGCATCAGTATGGATACTTTAAGATTGGTGACAGACAGAATTGCGGCCAATTTATGAACTGCGCCGACGGTAAAGGCTACATTTTTGATTGTCCGGAAGGTCTTGCTTTCAATTCGGAAACTTATCGATGCGATTGGCCAGACCAGGTTCCAGATTGCGATGCTGAAGGTAACGCAGGCGATGTTTAAAAGTCATGGATATCTAACGTAACGATTCGTAGGAGTATATTACGTATATTGCCTGTTTAAAAAGTTTATTATTCATCTTTGAATAAATTATTTTCAGCCTATCTAGGATTTACATGTCCACCGTCGTCTCAGGATGGGATATATACTTCCGGTGAAATAAAATATTACAGAAGTCCCGTCAATTGTCAACGTTATTACATCTGTGTGAATGATCGACCGCGTTTGCAAAATTGCGGGGAAGGGAATGCATTCAACGATCTTATAAATGCCTGTGACGCAATCGAAAATGTTACTGGATGGTTCGTACGATGGATTATGATTATCTATGTCTTTAGCTTCCTTTCTTTCCTTTAAACAAGAAATAATATTGGATTTTTTCTTCAGCGCAATACCTTCGATCGAACAACAATCAAGATACGACGGAATTCAGGGGCCATTGCAAGGACATGCTCGATTATTTTAGCGTATAAGTAAACACGTGAGAAAGAAACTCATAAAATATCTGAATAATTAATATTGTATAATTTATTAATAAAGTTACTGCTACTATGAGGTATCGTTATATTATAACGTTCCATTTAACATGTAATTAATGAATTAGCCGTGAAATGTATTGGGACAAGTTTTATTGACGTAAATGTTAGACAAAATGGCACCGGCAACTGTACTGTTAAATTACTGTACGAACTTTGGTTGTAAAAGTATAAAGTCGCATATATATACGCTAGCTCATTTGTGCTCGTTGAAATCGGTGATCGCGACGGAACGGCGGTCTTCTGGTTCCCTAGTATCGACCGGTAAACCGGTTTTCCCTAGCACGACTCATGCAAGTTCCTTACATCTATACCGCTACGTGCCATACTATCCTGATATCTCCGTCTAGGAGCAGGAGCTAGGATCGGCTGCAGGACTGCTAATCGGCATTCGCTTTGCAGTCTATAGAGCGTATCTAATGGTTTATATACAAATGAAGAAACAAGTTTTATTATCCTATTTTCTGAATGAATACAGAATAGTATGTATAGACAATTTGAAGTTTCTAATTTACTATTTCTAATTTACATATACCCACTACGTGAGATAAAGGAAGTTCTTAATATCTTACAATTAGAAAGAGAATTCATCTTTGCGAAGTTTCCTTTGGATCTGAAACTATTGTGAAGAGATAGATGAAAAAGGAAGTAAAACTATAGGTATGTAGATGGTGGCTTATGAATTTGTAAATTGTGTAATTTCTCCAATTGATTGTTACACAAATATCTCATCTCCCTGTACTATTAATTGATAAGTTTTACATGCAAAACGTAATAGGAATACCTGTCACTTTGCATATGTATAGCACAATACATAAATTTATGCGTTTCAGAAATGTTTCTGAAACGTGTCTTAATATTCTGTGCCATTTAAGATTGTCTTTTTTAACAGGGATAAATTTAAAAAAGGAAGAAGAACAAATTCAAGCATTTGTGCAGATAACTTTGTGGTGTACATAATTATTGGTACGTTTATTGTGTATTATATATTATGAAGACCCTTTTCGCGCCTGCCTGTACGGAAGGAAGTTTTGTATCATATTCATTTCAAGGAATAGTTTCCGGTAATAGAATAGAAACAAAGGAAGCCTACTGAGATTTAACCTAAGTAGAGGGAGAAATTGAATTTGGATGAGATATAATATATGAATAAATAACAAAAAAGAGAAATAATTGATTATACTTTCAGTAGATTCGACCGGCTTAGACCATCTTTAAACTGACGCAGAAGTTTATGACGACTGGAGAGAATGGCGTTGATTAAGTGAAGGAATTTTGTGATTAGTTCATCAAAGAATATTATGATCAGAAGATGCATCAGTCTGATGAGTTGTCATCAAGTTCCGACGATGAAATATCTCAGGAAATATTAAAGGAAGCTGCTGATGTTCAATACTTAAATGAATATCTTTTCCATCAATCTGTTCAGGCATCTGGTATACTTTATAACCACACTTTTTGATTTCTTATTAAAATTCCAGAGTATCTGTATTCTTGTTGTATTACAGAAAAGTCGCTGCCAAAGAATTTGATAGAACCATGTAAGAAGAAGCCTTCTCTTAGAAATCAACAATGTCAAGATCAATTTCAAGGGTTTGGGACCACGCAAACTTTCAAAGATTTTATAGCTAAAAAGTTGAATGATGTATTAGACAGGTACGTTAATTAAGTAAGGCAAATTTAGCGATGCTCTTTGAATTGTAACTGATTATTACTATAATTATAGAGTTATAGAAGAGCCAAATATACACAAGAATGTAAGGAAACGTACAAGAACCAAAAGCATAAGTGAGAAACAAGGTGTTGAACTAGGAATAAAACTATTAAATTCTTCAAAATCATTATTAACTGACATAGAAATTGAGCATGTGAATTGTTCAAAGGATATGAAAGTGCAGAAAAGCATGAAAGATAGAATGGCTGAACAGTCCATGATTCGAGATGCAGCAGTGGACCCTGAACAGGTTTTGTCAAAGATTGAAACGAAAGCTTGGGCTAACAATTGCAGAGGTAAAGTATTTCGGTATAAGCAGCTTCAAGATGGAACTTTGATGGAAAAAAAATAAGTGCACATTTCTTATGCATATTTTATACGTTAATTGTAAATAAATAATATTTCATCAGTGTCTCACATTTACTGGTACATACTGCCTCTTTTTTCCACTTTATCAATACTCGTAAAAATCATGAGATCTAAAGTATATATTTAAGCTTTACTGTCAAATAAATAGTTTTAGGTTGGCGGCGCAACTGTGGAATGTGTTTAAATTTACGTCGCGACGAAGTGTGTAAACGTTGCGCTTATGATCGTAGAATTTGACGAATAATTTATATTATACATAACAAATAATGGAAACAGTAAAGGAATCTGAATCAAGTGCGAATAATCAACTATGTCAAATGTAAAAACATGAATTGGATTACCTAACCTCCATCGCATGAGTCTTGCTTAGAAATAAATTCAATGGGAACTGTATTTACAAACTTATATTTTCAGATGTGGCATACAAGCACGCAAGTATACTTGCCCTCGATGTGGATTGGCATATTGCAGTGTAAATTGTTACAAGACGTTGGAACATATGGATTGCTCTGAAAGCTTCTATAAAGAATTAGTAGAAGAGGAATTGCGATCCCAAAAATCAGACCCTGAAAGTGCTCGGAACATGCTTGATATTCTTAAAAGAATGCATGAGAATCAAGAGGATGAAATAGACACTTTGCATGATTCGGGAAGTGGTACAGAGGAAGATGCTCCTCTGGATTCAGATGACGAAGAAGATGTATGTTAGATAGCATATTTATTTTGATTTGATTGATTGTATTCTGTGACTTCTAATGATGTTTTTTAGGTACCTGACCTTCAAGAAAGAATGAAAAATGTGAACTTAGATAATCCTAACGAAATATGGTCTGCATTAACTAGTGCGGAAAAACAGGAATTTGAGGCTTCTCTGCAAAATGACCAAGTTAAAAAGCTTCTACCTCGTTGGATACCTTGGTGGTCTTACCATGCTGAAAAAGAATTAATACAGGATCTTGAAGTTAATAAAGAATCAAATAACTATGTCAAGAATTGTCCAAAAATATTACAAGTTCCAAAATTTAACGAATTATTGGTAAATATTGACGATTATATATATCTATTTGACTTTATATTGTAAAATGAACTTGTAATAGTCATAAGTTTTTGGCAAGATATACAGTATGTTATACATTTTTTTTATGCAGAATGCATCTCCTTCCGTACGTTACAATTTGCTGAATGTCCTATATGCATATACATACGTAGCTCTTTGCTTTAATGGCGATCATTTCTCTTCATTCAGAGAAGCAGTCGATATGTTTCTTCTCTTGTGTGATAATATGCGTGAAAACAAGAATTTTGAAGATACAACATCAGCAATTGAATCAGTGGTACAAAATATTCTAAAGGTGAATTTATATTAATATACATTCTTAAAGCCAACTGCTACCGATCTGTTGCCTCTTTTATACAAGATATTTCATTTTACAGAATGATGTAATAATAGAAGTTGAAGAAACAATTTCATTTCTTAAGAATGCTGTCAATTCGATCATAGAGGGACCAGAAACGGAAAACCGGTGTTTTTATATATCTTCAGCATTGTCAGATCTTTATCGATTATTTATAACAGCTAAGAAGAGTGCATCAGCACCTAAACAAACAGCAGTTAACGGAGAATTCTCAAAGAGATTTGCAGATCCAAATCATGATATCAAGGTACATTATACCAAGAAAGACTTGCGACTTTGTTTAAAGAAATTGGAATATTATTTGTCATGGATTGAAAGTTATGGACAAACTATATCAATAAACAAGTAATGTCGTTTTTCGAAAACTACAAGAATTCACGCAATCCGGCTAACGCTTTGTTAATTGCAACCGAACTTTCTACATAATCTTTTCTTGTCTGTAGAATTTCTTCCTTTTCACTAAAGACTTTAATTATTCTAGAAGTAAAGTTTCTGTTATTTCACTAAGACATTTTTTTCACATATTCCTCTCTAATTACTAGTGGTATGTAGCTCTTTACATTTATCACATTACGCATAGCGTCCTCGTTCGTTATACGTGTCAGTCCCATTTTAATAAACAAATTTCTTGAACTCAAAAAATGTCCACATTTCTTGTCATGTGACGATGATTTAGGCAATAATTTCGTAATTCGATTGAAAAAGGAGAATAATCATTTCAAGTGTTTTCGATTCGATCATCAGTACTCCATATACATGAAAACATATTGCATAGAGGAAGATAACAGAAGATAAACAGAGCCTTATGGCAGATTTGCAGCTGTGTCAGATTTTTCATGCGTGTCAAAAGCTTCGGGGAAATTAAATCCCTCATTACTTAGACTATCGAATTCTTCCTTTTTGTCCTTTCCTGCTTTTATAAATTCAAAATTTTTCCGACACGAAAAATATAATGAAGCTGCGAATTAATGCTTACCGTCAGAACATACATTATCTCATTCTATCATACGTCAGAAGGATCAGAACATACCTTGTCTTATTCTACCATGGTCACTTCGATCTTTTCATAACAGGTGGCGCTCGGAGCGCATCAAGGCCTGATTACAATGGAATAGATCCGTTTAGATCCGTTTTATACATATACATAATTATTTATTTGTTATCATATTTATCACTTAAAAAATTGGATAGCTGTAATTTAATGCAAATAGAATATAATACAAGAAAAGAACTGAATCGGCGGTCTGAAAAAATGGCGCCACACCCCTTTTTCATGTTCTGAATTAAAAACAAATATTCTCAACAAGTACGATGGGAGTTCCAACTGCATTTGCATGCAAGACAAAAAAAACTATTTAGTGCAAAATATTCTCTGTCCAAAATATCTTTTCCCTATTCTCATGAAAGAAAATGAAATTACTAAATTGCGTTCTGACCCGTAAAAGGGTCGGACTATGCATAGTAAAGTGGATTTATTTGTAAAACATACACTAATACACGCAAATCGAGGCTTTTTTATCACTCTGCTTATAGTCTTTAATATGAATAATTTATTAATCAATTATTAATATTAAAAAAAAAAACGATGACTGCCAGGTGGGTTTTAAGTAAGAGACTGTTTAACAAGTATTCCTCCAGTTGGCCTCCAGTATTTCTATATTTCAGTGATCAAATGCCTTATGCAATGATGCGAGGTTCTAAAATTCTACCTACACATTTTTTTTAGTACGGTCAAACAGAAATTTTCTTTCTTTCTATTATTACTTCATCATTTTATAATTTTAAGTTTCATCCATATTTCATAACAATGATCGACCTAACTAATAAGGAGCTATAAACTACTGATACACCTGGCATGGTAGAATAACCAACGTTGCCATGGAAACCATAGGAAAATCAAACAAACTACCCCATAAATTAGTGCAATCACAATCCCAATACAAAAATGTTTAACAGATACAATTGTTTTAGTATTCTTATATGCTATTCATGTTTAATTATGAGTTATATTAGTGGATTAAATACCAATGACATAATTTTTGAATTTTCGGATCCTACTATGTGTGATTGTAGTAATTATTATGATTTAAATACATTTTCATGTATACAGTGTGATGCCAAAAAAAATCTAATACCAAGTTATGATCGTAAGGCACATTTCTTTATTGCTAATATGCTACTGATAATCACTATCTTGTTCATTTTTTGAGTAATGATTAACAGAAACTATACCACATTCTTAGGTTTAATATGCATCTGTAATAAGACTGCTAAAACTATTGGTTACAAAAAGGGAATACCATTGTGTCATCCATGTGATCAGGATGAAGTTGTAACTAGCGATGGCTTAGATTGTATTTCATGTCAAAATATTAGAAGTAATGATACTTGTAATTGTTCTCCAGGTGAAATAAAATGTAAGAATTTAATAATCTGCTCAGATTACTACATAATTGTATTTATTCAATTATAATAGCTACATATATTTCTTCATTAACACTCATTAAGTTATAATTGATCATAGTACGTACACATTACTCTTTATTTTGATTTTACAGTGGAACGCAATGCAAGTGGAATACTCTTACCTGCTTTTGAATGTCTTCCATGTCCTGAGAATTTTTATCCATCATCCGATGGCCTGAAGTGTCTTCCTTGCAATAGTAACACATATGCTAGTCATATGCGTTGTGCATGTCCTATTGTCTCCCATGTAAGAATATTTGAATACTGTATTCCTAAAAATGGTCTCACATCCTGGCCAGATGTACGGAGTACTTATTTAGCAAAGTTTGACACTCAAAGTATTGATAGTTATTATTTGAGAACTGAATTGCAACTGGCAGTATACTTATGTGAGGTAAATAAACATATTATCATTGACATTATTATTGATTGACATTTAAAATATTAAATTATGTTCTTTAGGATGGGAATAAAACAGCCTGTGAACATTTATCGAATATGTGTGCATTGACACTTTTTCAAGATAGTATGCCCTGTAAAATGGTTCTACAGAGCCATAATTTTCCAGTTCAGCTATTCTATGGTGCTGGTGAATCTGCTAATGTTCTCAGTAGTAGAAAAATCTCTCAAAGATATACACTTGTGAAGAACAATGATGTACACAACCATATTTCTAAATATACTTAACACTAGATTTACCATCTATTTATTTATTTTGACTGGTACTGGTATAAATGTCAATAACAAAAATTATATTTGTTACTAATGTATATAAAATAACATTAAGTTTATAAAATGTATTCTCTACTTATAGCTACAAAAGTCATAACATCATTTCTGAAACCAAATGATATATGTAGTAGGAATTTTGAATTGAAATTGCACGACCAGTCAAAATGACTGGTCTGGTAAATCTAGTGTTAATATTATTAACGTGTAGTTCTATAATTTATACTATTTTACTAGGCTTCGGAATTGAAGTTCATGGTTGCTGCAGTTTCCTTAAGAGGGAAATTTCAGTCAATTGAAACACCAAACATAGTTTGCAACATCTTTACAAATACTAGATTTGGAGTAAACGTTCACAAAAAATGTAAAATTACTGCTGAAGAGCTACTAAATACTAAAATGGAAGCATATATCCCATATTTAATGTATAATGAAAACGAGAAAAAATTTCTTCACGCGTTGCCAGTATTTATAAAAAATATAAATAAGGTAAGGAATTCTAAGATTGTAAAAATTATATTATTTCTTTGACAATATCACATTTTAACGATTTTTCATATTTGTATTTTTGTACAGAATGAAAATAATATATCTCAATGGCAACATGTACGAAGATTCTTCGTTTTCGATAATATACTGGGCTATAGGGCAATACCCAGTTCAATTAATAATAGTTTTCAAAAAGAGGCTGATCTAGCAGTTTTTCGATATATCAAATCTTTTAACGTTTTGTAAGCATATAACACTGTTTTCTATAATATTCAATGTGAAAAGCGTCATGTAATATGGTTTCAGAGTAAAAACACAAAGCAAAGAAGAGCGTGGAAAAATTTATCCACCATTAATAGTGATCGAGTATGAGGAACTCGAGAAAGAAGAAATTCTTAATAATGTCGACATCATTATGACTTATAAAGTTACATACTCTTTAGAAGATAATGACCTGGATAGCGCAATGGGGGTAATAACATTCTTATTATAGGTGCAAGACGCTAATAAATCTCATTGTAAATCTTTCTAAAACGATATTTACCAGATATATACAGGAGTTTTTTCGGGGTTTGCACTGGTTTTGTCAGCATTGAAAACATGGAGTTATTGTAGACGAAATGGTAACAATGTTCCCAACGCTGGAATATTCATATGGTTTTCCATATTCTCTTGTGGCATACTTGGAAATGTGCTGTTATTTGTATCATTCACTACTAGCATTTACACGTTTATCTTTTATAAGGGACAAACAGTTTTGCACGTTCTTTTACCTGCTGAAGTCAATGAGTTTAACATTCAAGTATTTACGGCGATCGCCTTCTGTTTTAAAGTGAGTAGATTTACAAGCATTTTTAAACGCAATACTTACAACTATAGTATATGTTAACTTTTCTCCGTTTCAAATTGATTTAAATAACTTTTAAATATTTTTTTATTGATTTGCAATATAGGTGATAGAAATGGCAGCACTCATGTATCAACTTCAAAATGTAAGTGTATTCTTTGTCGACTGGGAACAATCCAAAACGGTTCAAGCGCAAATCAAACACGATTCCCCTCATACTTCATTGAAAAAACAATACTCCAAGCGATTTTCATTGGAAACAAGCAACCCATTAATGAGCACACCATCAGGATTAATCCCTTCCAGAAAAAATAAAATTTCATTAAAATCGAACGCTGATGATGTAGCAAGTGGACATTCTTCGCAGTTTTCAAGTGAAAAAAGTAATGAAGATTTCACAGAATATTCAGATATGAATATAACATTAGGAGGTCGAGATAATGAACAATTATCAACAATCAGTATATGGAGAACATATTTTGTCGCCAACGAGTGGCTAAGAATTCAAACACGACGAAAAATTAGCATGATTGTACAGAGCGTATTCACTTTATTTTTATTAGAAGTATGTATGTTTTTTTATTAATTGTACCTAGACCATTAATTTTAGAAAAAAAGCACTATATGAAATTAATTTTTTTATATGGAACATAATTTCTAGGTTGTAGGTCTCAAATTTTTAGCTTCAGCAAATCCCGAATTAATGTTAGATGAACAAGAGAATTTCTCAAAAGTGGAGCATAGCTTCACTTTGCGTTATGCAGTTGGTGCTATGGTGTATATGACTGTCTATTTTGTGCAGTGGATGATATCTGTCACATTTTATCAACGCTATATTACAAATTTTTTACAAGAATTTATCGATCTATGCTCGATAGCAAATATCAGTACTTTTGTCCTCGCGCTTAATTATTATGGATTTTACATTCATGGAAGGTAAATATCACTATGATATAGTTAAAGAGAACACATATGCAAATTGATTAACAGACCCGCAACTTTGGTTTCAGATCTGTGCATGGGTTTGCAGACACTGATCTTGCCACTTTATTAGACAATTTAAAGATGGAAGAGGAAAACCTATGTGCACACAGAGGACTTGTTCCTGGCACAACAGATCAGACGTTCGTTATATCAGTTTCAACTGCATTCCGGGCCTTTTATAATAAAGTGTTACGTCCGCTCAAATCTGTACGTATGACAAATTTAAAAGAACTTCACTATCAATTTTATATTTCACGTAAAAGTCCCTTTTTGTGTCAAATTTTTAAATCCGAATTTGCTGTATTATATTATATTAAACTAATTTTTCTGACGAATAATATTTAATCAGGATGAAAACAGATTCCTCAGAAGGAATATTTCTGAGCAATCAAGTTTGGAAAAGAGTTTACAAATTCATCTTAAACTAAAAAAATTCCTAATTGGTTTTTTGGACCATTGTTACAAAGATTTGGACTATGTTGTGAAAGAGAAACAGCTCATGGAAAAAGTGGGAGATATTGAACTTACTGATGTCACAGAACGTTCTGTGTTCTATATTGGTAATGTGCTTTCGTAAATATAATAGTTATAAGTATTTCACTTATTAGTTACCCAATGCCAAAAATATTCAGAGTAAAACAATAATATTAATAATTTAAAAGATAAAGTATCTATAGTTATAACTTTATTACATATGTTCTTGGGACTCACTTTTTGGATGATACTTTCGCGTATTCAAGTTTCAGCCATACTTTTAAAAAATCCCATGTAATATGTGGGTTATTCTTTTACGAAGTCTAATTACATTTTGACTGATATAGAAAATATTGTTATAAAGAATTATAAATAAGCATGTATATATTTCCAGTGTGCATTAACTGAATTTTATTCCAGATAATAAATACTCATTTGATCGCGTCCTGTTTCATGGAAATGAGTGCACATTAGCTACATTTGAAATAACGTTATTTATATTCATTGAAGTCTTTTCGGAGAGTTACATTCTTGCTATGATATGTACCTTCAGTATATCACAACTGGTAGTCTTAATTTGGAAATTTAATAGCAAACGAAATTTAGCTAATAAGTCTCTAATTGATGAGAGATTTTTTATATAACCTATTTGTTAAACTGATGATCTTTGATTTAGCCTTCCATATAAGGTATAATGTACAATAGTGAAAAAACATAATAGTAATTTTAATTGAAGCAATGTTTTATGAAATGTACTTATTATTTATGTCCCAAATCATAATTTATGCACCAATTTCTAGAATTACAGTATTTGCCAACTAATTTACATGCAAATATAACAAGAAGAAATATTTTCTTTCCATTTTTATTACACACTACGTCAGCCATGACAATGCTTAATAGAATTGAGATAATAAGAGATATTAATGATGTTCATCGTGTTCCTCACCATGGCCCTGACCATGATGGTCTGAAATCCCAAGTGCATGTTCAATCCCTATTGTCAACAAGAATGCTGGAACTGCAAATTTCCATCCTCGGAAGAAGAAAGTTAGAACACGGCTAGTAACAGATTTTCCAAAGCTTTTATCATAACGCCAGACTTCATTCCGTAGCCAAGGATCTTTGAGTCCCAACTTTGCCAATTTTTGTTGAACCTTTACTAATTGGGGCACATCTTCGACTTTATAAATGTCAGGGCTAGGCACTTTGTATGGAGGCTCATGACCATGTCCGTGTCCTCCCATTCTAGTGAGAAAAATAAATGATTAGTATATTGTGTCATTTTTACACCAAAGTTCCTCAAAAGTTTAACTAGTTACCGATTCATCGACAAAAATTACTTTTCATTAATAAGAAAAAATGCATAAAAGAAACTGTTTTCCTAATCTCTTACAAAATTTAACACTAAACCTATCATCGACGGGTTATTTAGACCTTTTAAAGCCAAAAATACGTTTATAAAAAATTGTTGGTAGGTTTAGTGTTAAATGACAGAATTCTGAAAAAATTAATGTCACATAATTTGTTGACTTCAAATAAGATTAGTGTAGCTCATTGATATAATAATAATACTTATAGCATATTATAATTCCCTTACCTGATTATTATAATTAAATTGCTTTACTTATGTAACTTATAACCTTAATTTTCGAAAGAAATGATTAAACGCGCATGAGCTATGTCAATCAATTTTATAGCAGCCGACTGTACTATCCAGAACTATCTGCAGCAAACGTCAACTTAAATAAAACTTAAGATTGTTGAATCCCTATAAATCATTAATCCCCAGAATATTTTATATATAAATATCAAAAATTCAGGTACACTGATAAAGTTAAATTTGTATTAAGATTATTATAGAATATAAGGAATAATTATGATGTTGTACTTATTAGAAATCGTAAGATGCGTTTGTTCGATGTTAGGGAATTTTTACCGCCTAAATATAGGCAGCCTTGTGCAACGAACATGTACACCGAATGAGAATTACTAAAAATGTGACGTCGAAAGGTGTTCTTTCCTGTATAAAGATCATGTCGACTGAGGAAACACCGTGAGAAAGTGTTTGTGATTTTGGTATTTTCAATATTAATTCCTTTCTGAAATAAACCCAAAGCGAACATGTGGGTAGAAGAGTGCGACAGTTTTGCAGAACTCTGCCGTGGTTATTTACCGTATTACCTACTAATAGTTTTACCAATCTTCATCATAATTTCACCAGCAAATCCAGTTGCTGCCTCTCATGAATTTCCTATCTATCGGATGCACCAATATGATTTACATGGAGTACCACACGGTAAACAATCTATGTTATTTGCATTAGATGTAACGGATCATTTGTTATACATTTATTCTCAGTTCACACTATTTTGAATGTGAATACATCAGTGCATTTACTTTTTTATAGGTTGTCGAAGCGCACCAATTTCTCTTGAAGCAAGGTCGCTTTCTGGTTGGCGTACTTCCCGACACTGTGTTGTTACCAGAGCTTTAGACCTTACATTAGAATCTTTCCAGTCAATTAGGAGCAAAGCTGGTGCATTAATTATCGTACTTCCAGAGAAACTTGATTCTTTAACAGAAGAAGAAAAACAGGTATTTTTTGTTTTATTATTATTTCATTTACATTGGTAACAACTAAGTAGAAATAATACTTTGTTTCATTTTAAATTATGATTGCAATATTACAATAGGACTAATAAGTATTAACTGGTTTTAGCATATTATGTCATTAGAAGAATTCATGATCTTTGGACCAGAAACTTTGATTCCTGTATATTTTGCATCATGGAATGCAGAACTGCAGGTTATTTTGGATGATATAACAACAGAATCAGTTAGTGATGAAAAAACTGGAACAGCAGCAGAGGCTATGTTCAACTCAATTTCTGCAAGTGGTTACCAAGTAGTTGTTGCATCTGGTCAACCAGCTGTTAGGTCTGATATAAAGGTTGCAACGTTACAAGGAAAGTTAACAGGAGCAGGAGCAGAAGAAAAGTTACCTACAATTGCATTGGTTGCATACTATGATAGTTCAGGAGTAGCTCCAGTAAGAGAATATTAATGTAGAACATTGAGATTTATTACTCTAAAAAGTCTAAATAATTAATTTGTAAAGAGAACACAATTTTATCATCATTATAAGATAAGATAGGCAATACTAATATGTACTATATTTATGACTCTGCCTCATCAGTGCTTTATTCCAAACTGTTATTACATCCAACATTATTAGGGAAATTATACTATAGTCCTTGGAAAATTTGAAAGCAAGGATATAACAAGTTGATTATACATATTTATTTTCTTTTAGGAATTATCATTTGGTGTGGATAGTAATGCTTCCGGAGTATCGTTATTGTTGGAATTAGCTAGATTATTTTCTGCACTATACTCAATGGGAAAATCAAGACCTGCACACAATCTCGTTTTCATTTTGACTGGCGCCGGTAAATTGAATTATCAAGGTAGTAAAAAATGGTTGGAAGATCAACTTGATGGACTGGAAGGATCAATAATTCAAGTAAGACTTTTTAAATAATATTCAATAATTACACATGGTATTGGATACTAATATATTAATTTTAGGATGCATCATATGTTATCTGCCTGGATACTATTACAGCAAGCAATAACCTATATGTACACGTATCAAAACCACCAAAGGAAACTTCACCGGGCGGTTTGTTTTATAAGGAACTTAAATCTGTCGCAGATTCTCTCGGTTCCATTAATGTTGAGGGTGTACATAAGAAAATAAATCTTGCTGAAGAGACCCTTGCATGGGAACACGAAAGATACAGTATTCGTAGGTTACCTGCTGCAACTTTATCATCTTTGAAGAGTCATAAAGATCCTATCAGGACAACTATTTTGGATGTAGCCAGAGCTGGACAGGTGGATAGGCTATATAAGCATACGCAAGTCGTGGCTGAAGCACTTGCCAAACACATCTATAATTTAAGTTCTAGCCAAATTTTCGCAGAGCCCTTGGTAAGTTAATAAGAATACTTACCTTAAGGTTATATCTCAAAGCACAGGACATATTCATAAACATATTTCTCTTTATAGTCGGTTTCCAAAGACTCGTTATCCTTGTGGCTCAACTATTTAGCATCTCAACCAAGAGCAGCCCCTTTACTCGCTGACAAACAAAATCCATTAGTTTCTACCCTTAGAGAAGCTATGTCCCGATATCTTGGTGACGTTAAAGTCACGTTACACAGCCCTGACAAGCGAGATCCAGAGTTTGTTTTTTATGATGTTACAAAGGCCACGCTCAACGTATATAGGTATGGTAGTTTTTATAAATATACGACATAAAAGTCTTTTTATTATTATCAACAATCAAATATTTTAATGATTATTAAAAAAATGGTTTGATTTTCTTTCAGTGTAAAACCTGCGGTATTTGACCTTTTCCTTACAATTGCTATAGTACTTTACTTAGGTATAGTATATTTGGCGGTCCATAACTTCCCACACGTATATTCCTTGGCGACTAGTCTTTCAGTTAAGACTAAAACTTCATAAGTACTAAATAACTAAAAAAAATCATTACGTCATGCAATAAAGGCGATCCACGTTCTTAAACAGATAATTTGTCATAACAAAGTTCAATAATCGCAAGTTGCAACTATGAAGAACTATGTGGTTTTCTATTAGGAAGAACTCTTTTGAACTGATATTGAAAGGAAGAAATATAGATATCGTAAAGAAAAAATAAAGTACGTAATTCTCGTAGGATACTTCCTCTAGAAACCAAACGATATCTTATACCGGGACAAAGGTATTGCGTGTTAAGTAGGCCAAAAAATGCTGCTACCAATTAGATTGTATAAAGTATTTAGTGGATTTAATGTAGCATATTTTGATGTCCGAGTAATAATGTTATGAACGGCCATATATAAGAACTGTGTTTAAAGTATTTTATTACAAGGAATTTTTCTAATATTCTCGATACGAGAAATATTGCAATGCGCTTGGGAGCAAATTTTATTAGTTTTCCTTCAATGACTTTATTCCCTTTGTAGGAATAAGGGCCACGTGGGAGCAATTCGATAAATTATCTTGCAATACAAAGACCAAGTAGTGAAATATGCAAGAATAATTTTACATCTAAAAGCCCTCTGCGTTTTTGGTGTCATATACAAGGTTATTTGAGAATAAAACTTTTGAATCGAATATGAACTTGCAGAGACTTCTGCGAAGCCAGTCAAATGTCAGTGCTGTACACAATTAATTAGTCGTTACATTTTTTGAGAATAATTATGTAGTTGTGATCATTACATCTAAACTTGTTAATGAAAAAGTAGAGTAGTTAACGTCTGCAATTTATTATTGCTCAAACAATCTGTATTTCTTGCCTTTTCAAACTCAATTGAATTTTATATAGCCATAGATTAGGACGAGTTTACGTAAGGCAAGTATTAAGTCTAATATGTTTGGTTTTGTTTACCAATTTAAGTTCTATAGTTATTACAGTTCGATGTTCTACAATTATACGTGTATAGACTCGATGTAGCTGTAGAGCATAAGCAGCTAATGCTTCGAAATTCAAATAAAGCATCTGTGATCACAGCTGATAAGAAATTGAAGCGTTAATCTCATTAAGTCATTTTTTGCTTTACGTTAAAAGTTAATCGTTTCTTAACTGTATTCAAAGCCCTATCATATTATATGCCTTTCGCGTGAGAAAATATCACTCCACTATTTAAACTCTTATTCAGTTCGTTTCATTAAATCATTATGAAACAAATACATCCTAACATTTTCAATGGAAAAGCGCATTTCATTTAAGTATGTACTATGAAACAAAGTAAATTATGGTGCACCTGGAAAATAAAATTAATTTAATGGTAGTGCTTAATCAATAACTCCAATCTCCTAATCCTAGACAACTTAATTTAAATTGTCTATCTTCATGCAGACATAATGTTCTTCTTTCTATAATACTTATAAATATATGACAAAGATATGCAATTTTTACAGATCAAAATTGAAAACACGAATAGATAAAAATGATAAACAATAAATAAAACCATACCAGAAACTATTTAATAATACTTTCAGAAATATGATTTTATCTAACAGCCGTATAAATAATTTCTGTATATTATCGGCACATTCGATTTATTGGCTCAACTGTAAATACTTGCTGTGGAGCGAGTTTGCATCATAAAGTTGAAGGCCAGCAGGTTTGAAAGTTGGTTGAAATCGTTCTTTTCCATTTGCCTTCCGCTAGTTTGGTTTAATACTCCATTAGTAGCGCACAGAAGTATAAATGCTTCGAGAAGTATGAACCGAATTTTCAGAAATTGTGAGTGAAGTATTAATTTAAAAATTGTATTCAACTGTTTACCTTGTAGACGACATATACACTCTTTACACTACAAATAGATCTACTTCGTTGATTCAAATTCCATATAGAATATTTTCATTGTCAAATTCAAAATAGTTTAAATACAATATAATATTTAAAAATAACATGTATTTTCTGCATTGCATTATTATTCACAAAATCAGTAAATGGGAGCAGTCCACGTCGGTGTCTCAGTTCCTTAGCAACAATACTGCGACCACAATTACAAGCAATTGAAGATGCTGGTACTTGGAAACGTGAAAGAATAATCAACTCGCCACAAAATGTGAAAATTCGGTTATCTAATGGCAAAGAAGTTCTAAATTTTTGTGCAAATAATTATTTGGGATTATCGGTAAGTCTAAAAGTATTTCTTGTTGTTAATAAAGTACTTTACGCACACTATTTCTTTGTACATAGATAATTTTTTTGAAATTTAATACAATATTATAGCATTTTATAAGTATAGGACAATTCAGATATAATAGCAGCAGCAAAATCAGCATTAGACAATTTTGGAGCTGGCTTAAGCTCCGTACGGTTTATTTGCGGAACACAAAAGATTCATATTGAGCTAGAGAAGAAAATTGCCGCTTTTCATAGCAGGGAAGATGCAATTGTTTATGCTTCATGCTTTGATGCCAATGCTGGGATTTTTGAAACCCTATTAACTCCCGACGATACAGTGATCAGCGACGAATTAAACCATGCTTCCATCATTGATGGGATACGTTTGTGCAAGGCAAAAAAGTTAAGGTGATGACATTTAGACTTTTATCCTTATATAACGAACCCTTAATAATTTCAAGGCTCATTCTTATATAGGTACAAGCATAGGAATATGGAAGAATTGGAGGAAAAACTTAAAGAAAGTATGACTTCTCGATTGCGTTTAATAGCAACTGATGGAGTATTTTCTATGGATGGTACAGTTGCTCCGTTGCCGAAAATAATAGAGCTTGCTAAAAAATATAATGCTCTTACTTTTGTGGACGACTGTCACGCCACAGGTTTTTTCGGCAAGACTGGTCGGTATGTGAATTACATTTGATTATTATGCCGACTAAACCGTCCAGCAAATTATTTATGGTTATTTAACGATTAATTAATTTGTTTGATTTTAATTTCAAAGAATTTCTAAGTCAGTTACAAGTTATGACATCACGGTTATCTGGTTGTACACATTTCTATCTTTTTAGGGGTACCGAAGAATACTTCGACCGTTTAGGAAATATCGACATTATTAATTCTACACTTGGTAAAGCTCTTGGTGGAGCATCTGGTGGTTACACAACTTCTCATAAAGAACTGATTGAATTACTAAGGCAGCGAAGCAGGCCGTATTTATTCTCCAATTCTTTACCACCGCCTGTAATTGGCGTAGGGCTAAAGGTGAATTGAAAATAATGGAAGATTACAATTAACATAAGATTACGAAGTATTATAATAGAGTTTATATTCAGATTATTTCAAATTATCAGTTTATTAGTTTAATCTTCTGTTATATTATTACTCGAAACATACAATATAAATCAACAAATATATTTGCAGGTGTTAGATCTAATATCGCAAAATACAGATTTTTTGGAACGCCTAAAAAGTAACACTATTCACTTTAGAACCGCAATGACTTCTGCTGGATTCACTATCACTGGTGATAATCATCCAATATGCCCTGTTTTACTCGGAGATGCCAAATTGGCATCAACATTTGCCAATAAGATGCTTGGTATGTTATGAAAACTTTTGAAACACATACTATTATATTAAGAATGTTCACTAATTCCATGCAGGCGCACATATATGTATTGATGACTTCATAAGTGAGGAATTCTAGAAAATTGTTATACCTATTTGTTTTTTTTTTAATCAAGTATTGTTTAATCAAATTTTTGCGTGACGAACGATCTGACAGTACAACTTAGATTTATTATCTGTCTTGATTTAAAGAAAAACGTGTGTAAATGAAAAAGACGAGATAGACTCCTCCATAGCAATTTGACATTTCGGAAAATACATCCACTCTTTTAACGCGTTATTTGTAAGGAAAAGACTTTTTTAAATCCTAAATTCAGCTGAACCAGATTAGTCATCTCGTCCAAAAGTTAGCTTAGCCAACATTTTCATAATTTAATTGACACTCAATGAGAACAAAGATCTTTTGAATTCCTTCGTTCCAATGTCATCAGATCGTGTATGTATGTACATGTACACACGTGGAATAGATGGACAGTAATGTTAAAGGGAAAATAAATGCATATTTAAGTAATTTGCTGAAATTACTTTAAATTGACAAATTATTTTTTGTTTATGTTACAGAGGAAAACATTTATGTGATTGGCTTCAGTTATCCAGTAGTTCCAAAGGAGAAAGCGAGAATTCGTGTACAAATCAGTGCTGCTCATTCAGTAGAAAATATTGATCAGGCTATTGATGCATTTATAAGAATTGGACGAGAGCTTAAAGTCGTGCAATAACAATTCGAATAACTGTATAAGAAATGTTGAGCTATTGATAAGAGACCCTGCTTTATTCATCATCCAGATGAACTTATATTATAAGATTTTATATTTCACAGTGCTGTGCTCAATGAAACACGAAGATAACAATTACAGTTCGTCGAATAACCAATAGAACACTGACCATAAAATGTTATAATTTTAAATGATGAACATTTAATTTACGGTGTTTACACTATTAATATTTTGGATGACTTCAGTATGGAGCAATAATATAAATCATAAAACTGCTATTAAATGTTTATGTTACATAAATTTCTAGTGGTATTCTAATCCTTATACAGTTAAATATGTATAAATTTCGTGTTGCAAAACTTTTGACACGAAGATGCTTTATATAGACATTAAGATTATTATAAGATCTTTAATGTGATATTCCATTGCGATGTTCGAAAAACTTCCGCCAGACCCTGGCAGAGTTGGAAGAATGTTCGCAACTAGGGATCTTACATCAATAGACAAGTATCGTTTTTTCGAATCGTTTCGTGTCATTATTAAAAGGATCAATATTGTAGGGTTATTTAGGCGTCTGGAAAATGGAAATATAAATAACAAAAAATGCTGACGGAACCGCTTAGTTACATTTTTGTTCATTAATTCAATATGAGAGTTCTGCCCAATCAAAAGTTTCATTTTTTAGTTGTACGACTTGAACGGCAATGTCGTAATGGCGCCACAATTATTTGATTTTGTAGGATTTGAATTGATCTGTTGATATATCAAGGTCTAGAAAATCAATTACAGACTAAAACATGGATATTGAAAAAAATTGATTTTCAATCAACATGTATATGTGCAACAGAAAAAAATAACAAAAATAGTATCGAGGTCTCAAGTGAGAGTAATATTGCCACTTTCCCTAAGAATTGTATTGGGAATGCCGTTTCTAATTCCTAAAGATTACAATATCACTTGAGTATAAGTTTCATGTGAATCCCAGCGAACATAGCTACCCGCGTAAAGATATTTTTGTTAATGATGATCATTTGGCTGACGTTCTTTTGTAAGAGTATTAAAAACCTATAATGATTTCATCATTAATTGATAATGAATCAAAAGATGTTAATTTTGACTGATTGTTAAGCAGAAACAAATGATAAACATTCATGAACTTATCCAGACTTTGGAATGGTCATCAACGTTCATCATAAGTTGAGGGTTGTCTCAAGAAATAACGTCAGCAAGATGAATTCACAACGATTTCATCATATAAAAAATATACATAACCGTAAAAAATCTTGGACGATTTTCCCTGTAATTATATTATCACTAGTGAAGCTTATTAATAGTTTGTGTTTTTTACATAGGACCAGATAAGTTAAATTCCTATAACTTAGGATAACTAGCTACATAAAGAATTATGACCAGCAAAGCACATTTATTTAAGAAGATTTTTATACTAAAGTGAGAATGGGCAGGTAATGGAAAACTTATCTGATTCTACTTAACCAGTTAACTGGTGGACTCGAAATTGACGTGTGGTGCCACAACTGGTAGGTGCGGATAATTCTGCATTTCACATGAAAGCTTATCTATAGAGCGCTTTTTGGGTCGCTCATTACGAATCCGAACTCGTCATAAGGAATTTCCCATTTTTGATTCAAATTTGTAATTAGCGACCCAAAAAACTTAGGCATACCAAGTTTCATCAAAATTCATTGAAATTTATTGAAGTTATTCAATGTGCTCACATTTATGTCATTATCAGTTAACTGGTTCAATTTTTGAAAAATACGAATCTAATGATGTTACGCAGCCGAACTATTGTTAAAACCTATCAGGAGCTCCTCTAGAACTATTGGAAAAGCCTATTGCTGAAATATTTTTAAGAAATTGCGGTACCAACTTCACGCCCGTGTAGCACCTCAATTTTTGAAAAATGCTTCATCAATAGTTCTCGAAGTGTTCTATGGTTCCTAATAGGTTTTAAGAATAGTTCTGCTACGTAACATCGGTAAAATATCTATTATTGATATTGGTAGCATCATACGCTTCAGTGTAGGCAGGCATGAGGTGCTGGCTTTTGTCATAGTAAATCTCAGAAAAGAAGAAATATATTTAGGCAATATCTTATGAGCGGTCTCGTTCGAAGTGTTGCTTTGGAAACCAGCGGTAAGTAGCGAAGAACCTCTGCCTGCCAAGCTACACGTTCATGATCATGTTCAGATTGACTACGACGGGATACACATTATCGACGGAGGCGATGATCACAAAATCCTACTCCCGGAGTCGCCGCTACGATTTAGCTCCATGTTTTTGGTATCGCCTAAAACCGTAGCGTTGTGCATCACTCTACAGAGATGAGTAGGGAGATTGCTAATGAGCCTGTTTTTGGTGGTCTCAA